CAAAAAAAAAAAAAAAAAAAGAAAGCCAGGGAAGGACTTGCTGCCTAATTTCGTTGGAGAGCGAGCATAGCCATGTACAACTGTTGCTGGGTTTTATAAGTTTTTATATCATCTGTTGTTCATAACATTACCTAAAATTTAGTAGCATGAACAACACACATAAGGTTCAGGAATCCAGGAGCTGCTTAATTAAACATAACTCAGGCTAATGAGGTCCAAGTGAAGGTGGTAAGGACTATAGAATTGACTTCCCAAGGAAATCACTTATATGACGCCACCTCGGCCCTTCAGTGACTGCTCTGCTGTCTCCACCAAGGGCCCCACAGGACAGAACCTACCTGCCGTTAGGATCCAATCTCAGTATTCAGACCCCTCACTTTAGCAGTGTGCACTCAGCCAGCCCCAAGATCCGCTCGGTGGGGTATGGGAGTAAGAAGCAGAATGGACACGTCATTGGAGGCTGCCTGCCACAACAGTGTGGTCCACATACAATGGATATTAGAAATTACAGAACTGAAAAGTTTCTTCTCTTTCACCCATTTAGGTATACATTTGCCTTGATTCTATAGAAAACTGCAATCAGTTCAACCATAGTGACACAAATGACACTCAGGTTAGCTCAGAATCAGAATCGGAGAGCCTTGAAGAAGCATTGCAGAGGCTTAATAAAATTGTGAAGACGTTTCCTCCTCTGACAGACTTTAGAACAGGTATACTTTTTTTCTTTAATGAAAAGTTTATTTAGTAAAACTATTTTTGTTTTAATGGGCTGGGGAGGCTTGGTTATTTCTAACAGTAATGGATATTTTCCTCAGATTCACTCTATATGCATTACTTCTTTGAATACTAGAGATATCCTGGAGTAAGCTTTTCCATCTTCTAGATTAAGAATGTGAACTGAGTTCAATCCCTGGTACTGCAAAAAAAAAAAAAAAAAAAAAAAAAAAAAGAGGCCTTGCCAAAGGTGCTCCATTGGCCTCTGTAGTCTGCATAGCCTATCCATAATCCATAATCCCCATAGTTAGACCCAGTGTAACATCTGCCGAAGCTACTGTAGCTTTGACCATCATCATAGGCACCGTGTAATTTCCATATCCTTGATCATAATAGTTATTAAATCCTTTGTTCCAACTTTACTATTCTGTTGATGAATTTATATTCAAGAAGTAGCTATTTATTGCAAATTCATTTGAGGGGTCCAGGGCATAGGGATGAATTCTAATCGCCAAAAAAAGGTAAAGTTTTAAAATATAATTTGAGATAAAAATGTTAGCAGCATGTAATATTTCGCTTATGCATTTCTTTCATGGAATTATGTAGATTTTGATGACATAAGAGGGGAAAGAGGGAACATTGTAAAACAAGACATGAAACTGAGCACTTGCTTGCACTAGGTATGATATTAGAAATATAAACCACAGTTCTTGAAAGCAAGTGGACAGAGAAGAGACAGGCCAGTCACGTGCAGCTCAGTAAAGGGAGAAGCTGAACACCAGTGGATCACAGAGAAAGTAGTGCTATATTAGTAGTCAATTTATAATGTTTTATTGGAGCTGAGCTTTGAAAGAAAAGTAGGTGTTATAAGGCCCAGGAGAACATTTTTTAGATAGGACAGACACAAGTAAAGGAATTAGGTCTCATTGTTATTTACAAAAAGGAAACAATAACACAAACTTCTAGTGAACTAAAACTGTTTATATAAATGAAACAGGTTAATTGAAATTGTTTAAAAACAATGAAATAGGGTTGGGGAGATAGCCCAGCATGGTAAGTACCTGCCTGTCAAGTGCAAAGTCCCAAGTTGGATCCCTCCTACTGATAAAAAAAAAAAAAGAAAGGAAATATGTAATTTGGGAAATATGTGATGAACCCCCTACTTCCTATGTATCCTCCTGCCTCCTGCATAGTGTTTCTCAGGAGAAACTCTGTGATATTTAAGTTTGTGTCTCTGACTTAATTCACTTCACGTTATGGGTTCAAGTTATTACAAATGCCTCAACTTTATTTTTTATGACAGCATAGTACTCCATTGTGTATAAGTACCATATTTTCCTTATCCAGCATTAAGGTGTTTTTTTGTGTTTGTTTTTTCCAGCATTAAGGTTTTAAGAAATTGTATTGAGGTAATTCATGGAGATGATGCAGTGGTTGGAAGATGAAAGAAACCTGTAAATTGTAATGCTGAGGAGTTGGTATTGCAGGCAGTTAAGATGCCACTGAATAATTTTAAATAATAGCTATGTACCTGGATTTTTTAAATTTAATATTTGTGGTCTCAGAGAGTGGATTAGAAGAGGACAGAATGGATGGCACGAACTGAAAAACTGCACTTAGTGCCCTTTGAAGATGATGATCCAAGGGAGCCTGGAGAGTCTCAAAAGTGGAGCTCGTGGCAGAGGGCCCACAGCCACAGAGGTAGAAGTAGGAGCTCTGTGAGTGGCAAAGTGTCTTCAAAGCTTAATGCTCAGGATCAGTAAAGAAATGCCAGGATTAATTTTAGATGGTTGAGTATATGATTATTATGTTGATGTGTTTGTACTTTTTCTACATTAGAAACTTTTTTAAAAGATAATTTTATCAAAAAAAAAAGGCAATTTTATCTTTTCTCCTTTTCTGCCTTTCTAGAAATGCCTTGTCTTGCAGAATATGCTGATGGCTTATGGTATAGAGCAAAAATTGTTTCCATTAAAGAATTTAACCCTTTATCTGTCCTGGTACAATTTGTTGATTATGGATCAACTGAAAAGTTAACACTGAACAGGTAAAAGAAAAGGTCATCTGAATAATGCTTCTGAGTTCTGCTTTAGCTTTTTTTTCTTTTATTGGAAAGATTCTTTACCTCTTTTAAAAGAAAAAGGCTATTTTAAAGCTGTTTGTGAATTAGGAATTTTTAAATCTAGACTTTTTGCAAGAAAATGTACATAAAATTTACAATTTTAACTATATTACTCAGTTGACTTTAAGCACATTTGCAATGTTGCACAACTCACTTTCTATCTCTGAAACATTTTCATTAACCCTTTCTGACGGGGCTGTAATTTGTCTTGCTGCCTAATGGTACAAACATGCATGTACCTGTGGTGGTTTGAGTTCCAGGAATGTGTTAATCCGAATAGAAACTTGGTACCCTTTAAACAGCATTCCTTCCATTCCATCCTCTCAGCCCTGTCATCTATTTCTGTCTCTGAGTTTTCATTTTCTAGGTACCTCATCTATAAGTAAAATCATGTAGTAGTCGTCCTTTTGTCACTAGCTTATTTCACTTAGCCTGTTTCCAAGATTCATCCATGTCATAAGATATGCCAGAATGTCCTTCCTTTTTAAGACAGAACCTAATCTTTTCTTATGTGTAGACCACATTGTATTTATCCTCAGTGATGTATGTATAAATTTCTCTTTGAGATGCTGCTTTCAGTTATTTTGGGCATACCCACAGACATGGAATTGCTGGATGATATAGTCCACTTCCAGTTTCTTAAGGAATGTTTTCTGCGGCTACCCCCCTCAACAATCCCACCACCATTGCTGGAGGGCTCGAGCTTTTCACATCTGCGTCAGCAGTTACCGTTACTTCTCAGGCTTGCGGGACTGCCCATCCTGGCTGCCCAGTCTCACTGCACGTTTGATTTACACTCCCTAATGATCATGATGTTGCGCATTTCGCACATTTCTTTTTTCCCCTTATATATCATCTTTGGAGAAGTGTCCGTTTTTATATGTATTTTCTTTCATCTGCAGGCTTTTTCACTCTGCTGATTGTCTATTAAGCACAGAAGTTTTTAATTTTGAAGTTCATTCCATCTGATTTTTCATTTGTTGGTTGTGCTTTTGGTATCACAACTGGAATAATCATTGAAAAATTCATTATGAGGTCCTTCCCTTGTTTTCTTCTAAGAGTTTTAGTCAGAAGGAAATTTGAGCTGCATGTAGTGGCGCACACCTGTAATCCCAGCACTAGGGAGACTAAGGCAGGAGGATCGTTAAAAGTTGAGACCAGCCTGGGCTACGAACTGAGCTCAAGGCCAGCCTGAACTGCGTAGTGAGACCCTGTCTCAAAAAGACTCCCCCAAAAAATTTATTTTTTTTTTTTTGAATTGACATACTAAACATTTAAGAATTTCTTTTCTTTTCTTTTTCTTTTCTTTTAGACTGTGTCAGATTCCTTTTCACCTCATGCAGTATCCTGCCCGTGCCATAAAGGTTTTCTTGGCAGGGTTTAAACCTCCCTTAAAGGACACAGGGAAGACAAGAATACCATATTGCCCCAAGTGGAGCATGGAGGCATTGTGGACTATGATAGACTGTCTTCAAGGAAAGCAGCTTTATGCTTCTTCTATGGTAAATGGTCTTAATTATTCAAAATGTTCTTATAGATATTTTCACAGTGCCTGTTAACTTAAAGCACTATGTGCCTGTGCAACTCTCCAAGGAGAAATAGGTAATAAGACACGTAAAGCTATGTATACTGCAGGAATAACCTTTAAAGCTTTTAAAATTGTTTTTATTTATACTTAAGAAACATTAGCTCCAGGTTGATAAGATTAAAATGAACGAGATATGCATTGTGCTGGGCATGGTGGTGCACACCTGTAATCCCAGCACTTGGGAGGGGGCAGCAGGGGACCTCCATGCATTTGAGGCCAGTATGGACTACAACTACCGAGGGAGACCCTGTCTCAAAAGAAAAGAAAAATGGCAAAGAACTTGTATATCAATGGAGGGAAACAAGCATACCAAACACTACACAAGCTAGAATGAAGTAGTACAATACAAGCTAGAATGAAGTATTACAATAGAGGGACAGCTTGAGGTGCAAAGGGAGTGAAAGAAAAAATGATTATGTCCATGTAAAAGGAGCTGAAATAGCACTTTCTTAGTAGGTATTGAAATGACATTTTCAAGTGTCATCTGAGCAGCATCCTGAAAAATGACTAGGAAAAACCAGGACATAGAAAGGCTTGAACTGTATTGTGAGAGAACCTTTATCAAAATCCCAGGTGAGGCTGGAGAGATAGCTCCGTGGTCTAACTGTCCACCAAGCAAGTGCAAGGACCCAGGTTCAATCCCCAGTACCACAGAACTGGGGATACTAGCCACCAAAACACGGCATGGTGGCACACATCTGTAATCCCAGCCCTGGGGAGGCTGAGATAGGACAGTCACTACTGTTTTTGTTTTTTGTTTT